TTCTGGGAGTTGAAGTCCACAAGTCTTAAAGTTGCCAAGGTTGGAGAATCCTGGTTTTTACAGTATTGCAAGTTTAAAGGGAAGGCCATAAATGGGTCTCTAGTGCCCCCTGCAGGTGCCAGCAGTCGGGAAGAACCTGGAAAGCCAGTGACAGATGTTGTTGGTGGTTTCCCCTGCCCCCCCCCCCCCCCCCAGCCAAAACATCTGGTCTAAAGCAGGGGTCTCCAACTGTGACCACTTTAAGACTTGTGGACTTCAACTCTCAGAATTCCTCAGCCAGCCGTGTCTGTTTCTTTTTTCTCTTAACCTCCTAAAGTGGAGAGAGTGCAGAGGAGGGGATTACAAGAGAGTAAGCTGTGCTGGCTGGGGCATTCTGGGAATTGAAGTCCACAAATCTTCAAGTTGCCAAGTTTGGAGACCTCTGACTTAAGTGTTCAGAAGAATAGAATAGAGCTGGAAGGGAGACCCTTGGAGGTCTTCCAGTCCAACCCCCTGCTCAAGCAGGAGACCCTGTACCATTTTGGACAGCCGTCCCGTCTCTTCTTAAAAGTTGTGAAGCACCAGCAACTTCCATTCCACTGATCGTCTTCGCTGTTTGGAAGTTTCTCCTTAGTTTCAGGCTGCTTCTTTCTTGTAACAGAATAACAGAGCTGGAAAGGGACCCTTGGATGTCTTCCAGTCCAACCCCCTGCTCAAACAGGAGATCCTATGTCATTCTGGACAAGTGGCTTCTTAAAGGGCTCCAGCAATGGAGCAGGAGAAAAGCTGTTGCTTTGATTATTTTTTCTCACGGTCAGGAAATTCATCCTTGGTTAGGATCCATCTGTTGTTTCTTGCCCTGCCTTCAGGGGCTTTGGAAAACAATTGGGACCCCCTCTTCTTCTTTGGGGCAGCCCCTCAAATACTGGAATACCGCTATCATGTCCCCACCCTCCACCCTAGTCCTTTTCTCCAGACCAGCCAAATCCAAATCCTGCAACCATTCTTTGTATGTTTTAGCCTCCAGGCCTTCAATCCTCTTGGTTTTCTCTTCTTTGCACTTTTCCCAAAGTCTCAGCATCTTTTTAGTTGTTTAGAAGTGTTGCTGGCTGGCAGAATAAGCTTTGCCCCAAAACTGGAAATGGGCTATGACCCCCTGAGAAAACAAATGGTAATCAGTAAAATGCACGAGTGTGCTGAGATAGATAGACTAACTAACCAAACTCTTAAAAAAAATAATCAAGATAGTGACTACTGCAAGGTATGGGATATCTGGTATGATTGGTTAAAGAAAAGGTGGTATTGTTAAGCCTGGATTCCCCAACGGGTGTTAAGGAAAACAAACTAAACAGAATGTGCAGCAAAGTCAGATAGGAAGACAAGTAAATGTGTGAGATAAGTTTTCTAGTTAACACGCAGTAAAAATACAGATACGCTTGTGCTATCAAAAATATAGTTTATTCCATTTAAGAATTATAGCATAGTCAAAATAAACGGTCCATTAGTCATATATCAATTTCAGTCAAGTCATGTCGGGGATACTCTATTTGCAAAGTCCGTGTTGAATAGCCAATGTCAGTTCACTTACAGTAAATCAGTCCAATCTTTATCTTCTCTCCGTTGAGAAAAATCAACACTCCTTTTTCTCTCCCCGTTCCAGCAAGAACGCAGTCATCAATCCATCCAGTAATTAGGGATCAGTAAGCCAGAGAGAGAGAGAGCTGCAATTGCCTCGCTTCTTATATTGTGCTTTTACAACCACACCCTTAATTACATTCTTGCAGTTAAAGTTACACACACTTTAATCAACAAACCATGATACCATATTTATTATTTTTACCCAAACCAGTTAGGGTAAACAATGTTATCCCTAACAGGTATCTGATCATTTGACAATATACTTTATTTATACTTTATTTATTTGATAGGTTGGACCATCAATAATAGAAAAGGATGAGTGTAACTATCGTTCAAAGCTTGCTGTAAAATATATGTACATATATATGTTTATTTTTAACCACAAAAATGTTGAATGAAAACTTTTTTTAAAAAAAAGTGTTGCTGGCTGGGGAATTCTGGGAATTAAAGCCCTCTTAAAAAGCGGGCCACTTTTGCAAAAAACCCTCCCTTCAACGCTGCTTTTTTTTTTTTTTTTTTTTTTTATGGGACAGGTGGAGTACCAGTTCCTCTCCCCCTACGTCTCCCCCAGGGACACCCCCTTCCGCCACATCCTCCTGGGCTCCGGCTCCCACACCGCCCAGGCCCTGCTGGAACACGTCCTCCTGCTCAGGAGCAACGCGAGCGCCTTCGACAAAGACCTCTTCAAGAACCAGCTGGCCCTCATGACGTGGACCATCCAAGGGGCAGCCAACGCCCTGGCTGGCGACGTTTGGGACATCAATAACGAGCTCTGAAAAAAACAACAACGATCCACCCCCCACCCCCCCACCCTTCCAAAAAAACACCCCCTCCACCCCCGTCCTCTTCCACCACCACCCCAAACCCGTTGCCCAGTTACACACCTTCCCTTTAGCTTTTCAGCTGGGTTTTTAGAGGGTCCCAAAGTCGAGGGATTCAAATCTTGGGAGAGATTTTTTAGGTGCGGATCGATGTCCCTGCCTGATGTGGCTAATAAGGCCCCCATCATCCCCTTAGCAATCTGAAGGAATTCCGTTTCCCGGAGTAAGCGAACCCCTCTGGCTGGACAGAGAAAGCCCCCTAAGCCGACCACGTTCCAGTCGGCGTTGAAACTCTCCCCGCAAAGCAAAAAAGGCTTAAATTGGTGGGAGCCTGCTTGGGGAGGGGGGGGGACCAGGTTCGAATCTCCTCCCACGCATATTTTCATCAGGCCTGGAACGTGGAGCCCTTCTACCTTACTCTGTCCGGTTCCCCTCGGGCCACTTACTCCGGGGAATGAGGCGAATGGGGATAAGGTCCGGCGGGCACGATTTAGGAAATGTAGGCAACGGGAAGCCCTTTTCCGGGAAGCCCTTTGGTCTTCTTGCTTTGTTGGCCAACCGGGAAAACACGCGAGCCTTTCCCGTCGGTCCCACTAGGGAAGGAGGGCGCGTTCCCGCGGCCTCCTCGGTCCTGGAGATATATTTATTAGTTATTTATTTATCAGTGACAGTGTTCACTATAAATGCTATTTGTGTTCTACCGAATATAATTATCGGAAGCAGTGACTTCCATAATTATGACAGTTATACTGTCGTTGTTTTGATATTAAGTAATAAAAGCAGCATCTGCTAACCGTGAGGAGAACTGGAGACTTGGGAGGGAGGGGGGCGTGAATTTCCCTCCACTGCAGCGTTTCAAGAGAGGGTTTGTAGTCGCTGCCGTTTCTGGGGTGCTGCGCGGTACCCTGGCCGCCCTCTAGATGCGCCGGGATTTGAGCCGCTGTGCCCAGCTGTAAATCCTGACCACGGTTTGGAGGGCAGCCTGTTTGACCGCTCACGTTGGTCTCGATCCCTCTGCATCGGGGGGCGGGGGTGTGTGTGGTGTGTCCAACCTTGGCAACTTTTAAGGCGGGTGGACTCCCACTCCCAGAATTCCCTAGCCCAGCCGCGCCTCTTGTTTCCTTTTCTCCTATCCCCTCCGAAGAGAGGAGAAGAGCGCAGAGGAAGGGATCGCAAGAGAGTAAGTAGCAAGCTGTGCCGGCTGAGGAAATTCCGGGAGGTGAAATCCGCAAGTCCTTCAAAGTTGGCAAGTTTGGAGACCGGCCCCGTGGGAATCTTGTCCACACCCCCTAGGTTTTTTGCCTAATCCAGAAGTGGCCAGCGACTGCAGACCCCCTCCCCGCGTGGGCTTCAACCTAGCCCCCTCCATCCCCTTGCCTTTGCCGGCGAGGGTTAAGCGGAAGGGAGCTGGCCGCAGGCTCTTGCCACCCACCTCTGGGGCCGTTTGCCAAGCCAGCCTCCAAAAGTCCTGCAGAAGAAACCTCCAGTCCTGCAAACAGTGAGGGTGAATCCCATTATCGGGGGCAGGGTCTCCCATAATGTCCAAGAAACAAGGTAGCTTTTGCCTACCACGAGTGTTATATCGGAGGCAGCGACTTCCATATGTTGCACTACAGGGTGTCTTTATAATTATCGGGGACAGTGTTCCCCATAATTTATTTTTTATCAATGCTCATCACCTGCAGAGCATGATCGTTAGTATCTAACATGAATTTATTGGAAACCTGGTACGATTTGTCTGTTTCTGTCTCAAGGCATGGCGCAGGGGGGCGGGGGGAGAACGTGCCCCTCGGCACTGGCCTGTTTTGGGGGGCGGGGGGAGCATCATCGCTGACTCTGGCTTGGCCAAGTTTGCTCTGCTTATCCCCCAGTGCCCAACCAGAAGCCTCCCACCCCCACCAGCTTGGTGGCTCTGGCTTCTCCCCCCACCCCCCACCCCCCTTGCCTTAAGGAAATAGAACGGCCACCTCTCCTCTCTCAACCAGGAATCCTGGCTTGTTCTCCACATAGCTTCAGGCATGCAGGAATGATGCCCGATGATGAACCTAGAGCCACTTCTGGCTTTTGATGCGGGCTCCCAAAAAGGCCATTGTGCGTTTCTTAAGGGGCATGGATTTTTTTTCTTCTCTGAATCTTCATCGGTGTCCTTTTTCCCCCCCTCTCTCTCTCTCTCTCTCTCTCTCTCTCTCTCTCTCTCTCTCTCTCTCTCTCTCTCTCTCTCTCTCTCTCTCTCTCGTTAGTTTGAAAAACTTTTAATGGCTTCCTAGGTAAATGTATGTATGGGAATCGCTTGTGATAACAAGGAATCTTCTGGGTAAGTCAGGAAGAACCTGGAAAGCCAGTGACAGATGCTGTTGGTGGTTTACACCCCCCCCCCATCTCTAGCCAAAACATCTGGTCTAAACCAGGGGGGTCTCCAGCCTTGGCCACTTTTAAGACTTGTGGACTTCCAACTCCCAGAATTCCTCAGCCAGCCGTGTCTCTTTTGCTCCTGTCTCCTCCAAAGTGGGAAGATTGCAGAGGAAAGGATTACAAGAGAGTAATTTATGCTGGCTGGAGAACTCTGGGAGTTGAAGTCCACAAGTCTTAAAGCTGCCAAGGTTGGAGACCCCCCTGGTCTAAAGAATCGTTTAAGGTTGACTTTGAACTGTAATTTCCTGGCCTTGGCTTTCCAAAATGCATAGCTTGCTTGTGGTTTTTTTTTTGCCGTTGGCAGGGGGGTTGTAAAGGAAACAATCAAAAATTGAACTTGCACATGAAAAAACCGACTCGAAAATAAAGAGAATTCCAGCCGTGCTCGCTATTAAAATAACCTTGGTGGGATTTTTGAGCGAGCTGGAAAGACGACGGTGGCCGCATTTTTTTTGGGCCATCTCTGGGTGTCGGTCATTCAGTTCAAATCAAAAGCTTGTTGCATTTCAGACCTCTTCATTTTGCGTGAAGAAGGGGGGGAAAAAGTTGGCTTAGCAAACCTTCCTGTGCGAGGTTTCCTTCCCCGTGTTTCATAAAGCAGAGGTGTCTCTTGCGTGTGTGTAATTGTTTCCATAGCACTGCATGCGTCCTGGGTGCGTTAAAAAAGACATTAGATGTAGTTGTAAAAATATATATATATATATATATTTTACATGGGCCCAGGCACCAGTGTGACCAAGGTAGTGCCGGTGCTCATCCTGATACATTATACAACTTTTTCTCTCTCTAGAGTTAAGAGGCCACTGTCTTGATGCAATCACTGTTTGAAAAAAATGCAAAACCTGACTTCTTCTTCTCCTTCATTAAAAGGAAAAAAAAAACCCGCAGCTTGGAAAATGTGCTTTATTGTGGGGGAGATTTGCGATGGGGTTGCGGGAGGGACAGCAGGTGAGGGGTGGGACGTGTGTTTGAAAGAAAGGTAGTCCTTGACTTAACGGCCACAACGGAGCCCCAAATTTAGGCTGCTAAGCGAAACATTGGTGATGTTTCCCCCCTCCCCATTTTACGACTTTCCTCGCCGCGGTTGTTAAGTGACTCACAATTGTTTCATTAATAACACAGGTGTTAAATCTGGCTTCCCCCCCATTGGTGTTCCTCGTTAGAAGGTCACAAAAGGGGTCTTATTTATGCAACCGTCACAAATACAAGTCAGTGGCCAAACACCTGGATTTTGATCCATGGGGATGCTGCAGGCCTCGTAAGTGTGAAAAACGCCCTTCCGTCAACTTGCTTTCCATGCCGTTGTAACTTTGAACGGTCACTAAATGGAACCGTTGTAAGTCAAGGACTGCCTCCGGTGCTTTTCCACCCAGGAAAGTGAACCCCTTTGCTCTGCCCCATCTGGAGAAAGAAACACGTGGGTGGAAGGCAGTGAGAAGGACATCTTGGGAGGGGAAGGTCTCAACGTTTTATTTTATTACTTTTTATTGTACAATTTTCTTAGTTACGTACAGGATTTCTCTATTCACAGTAACAGTATACTGTCTGGGTGCAATCTCTACATTCTCTATGGAATACCAATGGAATACTTATTCTATTGAACAAGTCTGACACACACAATAGTTATAACTCTTATTCTCAATATCTCTTCATCTTATCCTTGTTATGAATTTTACATTATTTGATTAGGCCTTCTGTTCAGTTTTATCCGTCATCCACCCATAGTACCAAACATGTACAAACATCAAGTAGACATCACATGGCCAATTAACCTCCAAATCATCTTAAGATTTGCTTAATTTGTTCGTTATTCCATTAGACATCTATGTTTACATATCCGGATTTCTAACTTCTACTATTTTCTACCCACTAATAGAATAGTTCCCAAATCAAAAAGTTACCTTCTCCCCATTTTTTATTTTATTTGTCAATCACTTACAAGATAATAGGTATAAGTATATACATAGTTATGAATACATGAAATGGGTACATATAAGAAAAATAAGAGAAACAATAAGACGGACGGTAGGCACGATTGGTGCGCTTATGCACACCCCCTACAGCCCTCTTAGGAAAGGGGTGAGGTCAATAGTAGACAGTCTAAGGTTAAAGTTTTTTGGGGTTGGAGAAGAAACCACAGAGTCAGGTAGAGTATTCCAGACATTGACCACTCTGTTGCTGAAGTCGTATTTCCTGCAATCGAGTTTGGTGTGATTAACCTTGATTAATTATTTCTATATTATTATAATTATATTATACAAATTATAATAATTTCTATGTACTAATTCTTGACGATATAGCTCCTGTGTTGAAACAGTATTGTGCATTTATCCCTCATCTCTTGCCCGTTTTCGTATCTCAACTCTATATACATTTTAGAATAAGAGCAGAGTTGGAAGGGACCTCAGAGGTCTTCTAGTCCAGCCCCCTGCTAAGGCAGGAGACCCTAAAGGGCGGAAGTATGAAAAATGGTCGTAAGTCGGTGACTTTTTTTCAGTGCCATAGTAACTTCGGTCAGGCGCTAAATGAACTGTCAAGGACTACCTGTATCCCAGTGGGCAAAGAACCTTTAAAATTTCTTTGTCTGAAAGGGTTGGACTAGAAGACCTCCAAGGTCCCTTCCAACTCTGTTATTCTGTTAAAAAGAGCACTTTACTTTTCCACTCTGTTCTGAAAACACACACAGTGGCTTCAGGTTGGATGGGGACAACAAAAGGTGCAACCTTGGTAAGGTAGAAAAATATGGGACAGACCGCATCACCTCCAGTTGGATTTGTAACGGGCTGGCAAACCATATTCAACCAGTAGTCCTTAAATGGCACTACGCCTACACGGAGAGAAGTAAGCACTGGGGTGCCACAAGGCTCCATCTTAGTCCCAGGACTCATCAATATCTTCATTAACGACTTAAATGAGGGACTAGAAGGGGAACTTAGCAAATTTGCAGATGATACTAAGCTGGCAGGAATAGCCAACACCCAAGAAGATGAGCTCAAGATCCAGAGGGATCTTGACAGACTAGAACCCTGGGCCGTATCTAACAGAATGAAATTTAATATGGAGAAAAGCAAAGTTTTACACCTGGGCAGAAAAAAACCAAAAGGATAAATACCGGTGAAACTTGGCTCAAAAGCTAACTGACCTCAGAGTCCTAGCGGACGATCCCTTAACCACGATCCGTGTGCGGCAGCCGCCAAAAAAGTCAATACAATCCTGCGTGGCATAAACAGAGGCGTACAATCAAAATCACGTGAAGGATTAAGTACCGCTTTGTAAAGCCTTAGTAAGGCCACACCTGGAATCTCTGCATTCAATGTTGGTCACCACAGCACAAAAAAGATGTTGAGAATTTGGGGAAAGGGCAGAGAAGAGCAACCAGGATGATGAGGGAACTGGAGACTACAACGTACGAAGAACCACCGTTGCAGGATTTGG